AAATTTATATGAAAATGAATCTTAGTGATATATTATTTTTTATTAAAAAATCTTTTACAATCTTTAGACTTTCGAGCAAAGAACATTCCACATTCGTTGTCAATGGCTTTCTAGTTTTGTTTGTTTGGTTTTTTGTGTATATATTTCCAGCTGTGCCCAGCGGAGGCTAGCCAAGGCAAGCGCATTTCATATTTAATTAAAATCGAGGCGGCCACAGACACCCGCAAACACACACACACACACACACCCATGCAGGCACACTCGCACACCACTAAAATACGTATGCATAATACAACAACAATTTAAACGAGAGCTGACTGTGTGTAAGAGTTAGGGAGCGTGTGTGTTGCCGCAGCGACGTCGTCTGGAAAATGGTAATAACAAAACGTTGTGCAAATATTTAAAATCTTTCGAATGCCGCATTAATGAGCTTTTATTTTGATGGCGATAAGAGCAACAAATACACACACACACGCCACGCACACCCGCCCACACATGCTAACTTGGTAACAAATTATGGCTAATTCGCAATTGCTTTATGCTAAACAGATGCGAGAATGGGCAGAAAACAAAAATTGTGGATAATATTTTGCCAGCGAGAAAAATCAAAACGGAGTAAGTGCGGCCACGCCCACCGCCCACCGCCCACCGTTATACGGCCACAATTGCTGGCCGCCAGACAGGCGTGGCAATTAAGGCGTGTGACGAAAACATTCCGCTGCCACGCCCACAAGTAATACGCCAGCGGAGGGATATGCCACATAGTGCACTGAGAAAACAAGGTAATTGCAAGTTTTGAAATTGAATTTTGAAGAAAAAATTTAATATTGAAACTTTGCCTGAATTATTTTTTAAGAAAAGGTTTAATCAAGATTTTTGTTATACTTATTTTTAACTATTTGGTCTATGGAAATATAAATATAGAGCTGAGAACTTGAGCTCTTTGGCTTTTTTTTTCGCCATGTGCGTTTACAATGCGAATTGTCGGCATTTGTTAATAATTTCTATTTCAATCAAGTTCCCCTTCCCTTCCCCTCTGCTGCTAGCTGCTGGCTTTTCTGCTGCTCCCCGCAAATTTCTCTTTGTTTTCGCAGCCATAATTCATTTCGCGCTTTGCTGGCGGCGGCGCGGTGAAAAGCGCGGGGAAAACATTGAAAGGGCGGCGAAAAATGCGAGGAATTTGAACAGAAAAAAAAGAATCAGACACACACACATATATATACAGCATTGTGAAAAGCAAGGATCGCCAGTGTGCATTTTCCGCAGCGGATGAGGATGTGGATGTGTGTGTGTGTGTGCTGGTCGTCCTTATTAAGTGGTTCGAGTGCTGATTTATAGCACTTTACCGTTTCGTCCCATCCCATCCCGCCACGGCAGTTATCCCGTCAGCCTCATACTGAAGGACATGACAGACACTCGTCCGGTGTCCTTCGTGTCTTTGGCGGGCACACCCAGCTCATTCGCTTAAAGTTTTAAGCGCTCACTTTGCATTCAAAGTAAGTTTAAGTCAGATAAATGTTTTGCACGCGCATTACTCATACGCCAGGTAGGTTCGATGGCTCCTTTTTTTCATCCTGCCTGCAAACCGAGTTGAAAACAAACCGCACTTTGCCTAATTGAAGCCGATAAAAAACAAAAAAAGAACAAAGTTGTTGATTAATTTAACCCCTAAAATTGGATGCAAATGAAATTGCCTCAACTTTACGGAAAAGGATATACATAGTCGGTCATATAGACGTTTTTTTTAGAACAATTATTTTTGGATAACCTTTTCTCTTTGATTAAAAAAGGGGACTTTAAAAAAAGGTACAAAATTAATGCTTTTCTATTAAGTTGGTAGACAATATTTTTTTATGGGTTAACTTTATGTACTAACATTCAAATTTTAATAATTAATATTCATATATTTATGAGCATATTTTATTACAATAGAATCAGAATAGTTTATCAAAGTAAGCATTAAATTTTCATTTAAATATTTTATTATTAATGAAAGTAAAACTCATAGTGCCTGATTTTGATTTTTATATCATTTTTTAATTTATTTATATATCTTTTTGAGTTCATAAGATATATTCATTTAATTGAAATAGTAATAGATCATATTTAGTTTAAGTAATAATAACTGATATATACGAAATGTTAGAGCTTATTTAAATTAGCTTAAGCCGCGATTTCCTTACTTGAGATATTAATTATTATTTATTAGATTATATTACTACAATAAAACCTAATTGAAATAAGCTTTAAATCTTGATTTTCACATTGTATTGTTAATGAAAGTAAAAAGATACCATATATATAAATATATTATATTATATATTATATATATTATATTTAATGCAAACAAATGATTATTATTTCAAGTGGAATAAGAATTATATATATATTATATTTAAAATAATATTTTAATATATATATAAATAATATATTATATATAATATAATAAATTTATATATAAGTTTATGAGTTAAATAATTCTTATTTCATTTGAAATAATAACCATTTGCTTGCATTAGTATGACCACCTAGTTTGTTTATTAATTAACTAAACTAAAATCGCTTTTAGGAAATGGCTCATAATTCCAAATATTTGAAACATGTTCATCGAAAGTTTATAACTCATTGTCTTTCTGTCTAAATCGTATTATTTTCTATTTTGGCAAGTTGCAAAATTGACTTGAACTAGATTCTCCATCTCAGGCGCTTCCCGAATGTTTACACTAGCACTCAAAATATATATTTCTTTCGCTGCCCATTCACAGAACAAAGAACGGAACGGATGCAATAAAAAGGTGCCAAGTCTGGGGCAAATTAATATATTTACGGATCCATGGATTGCCTCAGCAGACGGCCGTAATAAACTGGCTGTAAAATTGACTTATGGACATTACTCGCTCCTACGTGGGATCGCTTCGCTTCGATCGCTGCTGGATTTGGTTTTGGATTGACCCACATAAATTTTCCACCCAAAATGGATTTTTCCTTGGGGTCAAGTGCAACAGCACCGGCCAGCGTTGGCCGTAAACATTTTATAGTTTCAATAAATATAAAATTTGAGAGCCATTAAAATCGGACCGAATCATGTGAAAGCTGGAACAGCATTTGCATTTGTTTGTTGCCATTCTTTGCAGTTCTCTGTTGTTTTTTCGTTTCCTCCAAGTTTTATGTCTTCCAAATCATGTGCGAGTGTGCAAGATTTCGGTATACGATTTTGTGCAGCATTGAGAATTGTTCGTGCAAATATAAACAAGTTTTTATGTTTGTACACAGCTCAGAGACAGCAAATTACGCATACGCCATGGATGCCAAGAAGCTTTCGAAAGAGTTTGGGATATTAACAAAATTGAAAACCTAATTCTCACTTAAGATAACCTTTCAACTTAAGTCGATTATGAACAAGTAATTACAATTACTCTCTTAGATTGGATTATCCGCTTTTCCCGCCCAAAGTTTGTCTTTCGTTAACACATTTCAGTTTCTGTTATGCTTTGCCTTAACTTTGTTAGCAGAAAGACATTTTGTTGCCATTTTCGGGTTGGCTTCTATTTATTTTGCTTGATTTCTTCACTGCCAGTAAATTGCGGGTAAACAAAAATGAAAGGAAATTCGTTTCTCGGTACTTAATTTTATTTATAGCGAAAAGGAAAGCTCACTATAACCCTAAGCAATTTTTTTTTGTATGCTTCTTATATAAGGAATGTTTTTAGTGAGGGGTTTCTCGTTAAAATGAAGGAATACCCCATTAAACTGTGATTTTAGGCTGTATAATTTAAAATATTTCATGAAAATTCAAGTTTAAAATTAATAATATAATTGCTTAATAGGACTAAACCAAAAATTTCTTGTTGGCTCTAATTTTAACTTATCCAGCCTGCTTTCAAAGTACAACATTCTTTTCTAAACCTTGCTATGAAGTTATATATATTGATGAAATTATTCCTAAATTCCCAAATAGGATTAAGTAATGAATAACAACATTTTCATTGTAAAACTTTCATCTTTAGGTGGTCCTGTCTGCTCTCGAAGTTTAATTCTAGTGCTAGACTTTTCCTGCCATTGGCTTGCCTTTGCTGTCTAAATGAACTGGCGTTTAATTATTTGCCAATTTACCCTCATCAACTTCTTGGCGAGGCCTCTAATTAGAAGGGCGCGAACGCTCAGCATGGTCTCAGCACTGCCACGCCCCACTATGACGCCCCATGTGTGCTCGCCACGGGAAAGGGGCAGAGGAAAAGCCACGACATTTTCAGGGAATTATCAAACATTAAACTCTTTATGAAAATGGTAAATAATGAACCTGGCGAATCGTAAAACTGAATGAAATGCCGGCACACATTTATATATATGTATATAGGTATTCCTGTTGTATAAGAGTTTGGGTAATTTTTTAATAAGTATTCAACGCTTCTTCGAGAACATTTTCCAGGAATTTACCTGTGTGTTTCTGTGCGTGCGTCGTAAACATTTTTATTGGCCATTTTCAACATGAGAAGCAATGAAAGGATATGCCGGCCCAGGTCGGAAAATGCTTTATGATGGCAGAGAGACAGGGAAAGGGAGGGAAAACCAAGGCAAAGGCGAAAGCAGAAGCAGAAGCAGAAAAAATGAAACATTTTCATTTCCATTTTCGTTCTCGTTCCCGTTCCCGTTCCCGTTCTCGCTTTCGTTTTTGTTGTTTGTCATGGCCCATTCAATTATCTTAATATTACGCATACGCCGCATGGGCTGCCAAAGCATTTCTGGGCCCAGCTCCAGGCCCAGGGCCAGGGCCAGTGGGGAGCTGGAACTCATCTCAGGGGTTGAGTTTGATGGCAAACCATTACCAATGAGCTGCCAGAGGAAAAACTAATTACCAAGTGAGACAGAACGAGGGAAAGCGGGAGTGGGTTGCGAAAACAAACAAGACTCTTGAGTATTTCGGCCTGAATGCGTTTATTGATCCCGGAATGCGGCCTAAATGAGCCTGGAATTGTGGTTAGCTCGCGGTTCGCACTCACCTTCTGGCGTATTTCCAAACGAAGTCCAGTATCCTTTATTCCCTTAGATCCTTAGTCCTTGTCTCAGCTGATTCCAATTGATTCACAATTTATTTTCACTTCTTCATTTGCACTTTGGTTTCGTACACAATACGCTTGGCTTGCTCTGAATTTAATAAACAAAATGTGTTGTCCTGGGCTGTTGTTATTGTGGGTTTTGGCAGGGACACTCGCTCCTGACTTTGCGTTCGGCCTTAGTTGGGCATCTCTCATTTACATTTTATGCATATTTTAATTGCGCGCAGATACGTCCCTGGAATCCGCACAGGATTCGTTTCCAGCAGCAACTTTTTAGCCCCGAGGCGGAAGCCAACAATGAACCATGAATAGGTCCTGGGGCCCCTGCTGTGGTCATTGCACTTGGCACAATTTCTTTTCCACTCTTTGTTTTCATTTAATTGAAAATTAGAGCGAGCCGGGGGGCTAGAACTTTGAGCTGTCCTGTGCAGGACATGATTTGCATTTCGCCCTCCCGCCCGAGCCCCACACCCCACACCGCGCCGCTTTGTTTATTAAACTTCAATTAGGCAAGTTTTTTCCAATTAAAATTCTGCTCGCTGCAATTTTAAGGGTTCTCCTTTCTGGCCGCTCAAACTTTTTCAAGTGGTTGGTTTAATTGGTTTTCGTAGCCCCTCCAGCAGGGGCTCGGCTGCATTGTGTCCCCCATATCAATCTCAGTCAGCTAACCGACGACATTGATAAATGCAAGGGGGCATTGGAACCGAAGGGAAAACGCACACGGAGAGACAATTTATATAATGGAGGGAACACCTCTTGAAGGAAGCTAAACAATTTAAATATTTATAATTATTATTAAATTGCTCTTTGTTTTTCTTTAATAAAAGTTAACTTAACAACTTAAACAAACTGATTATTATCCTTCTTTTGTTTAAAAGTAATTCTGAACTTCTAAAAGAATGTACTATTGATATTATATACGCCTATGTAATCTCTTAAAATTTCTGTTTGCTATTTAAATATTTATTAAAAAGAGCAGCAATAAGAAAACTGAAAAAGCTAACTATGACTTTCAAATGAAATTTGCTGATAATGGATGGCTCTTATCCTAAGCAAATAAATTAGCTCATAAACTCAGAGGGTTGCAAGGTAAAATATTATGAGAGAGACCTTAAAAAGGTTTAAAATTTTCCAACTGCGCAAATATTCGATTTATTAAGGGTGGGATGTAACGTAAATATTGAATAAAATATATTAAGACTTTAAATTAAAAAGTTACTTTTTGACTTGAGCATTTCCCTTATATAAAAACGGAGATTTAATGATCTTGTGTAAATTTAACAATTCTAAACTATTAAAATATTCCTTAGGATGATAAATCTGTCATAAGTTTGGAAAAGTTCAATAAAATCCAAGCAATGTGAGGTAATTGCAAGAATCTGGCACCTGTTCTTGCTAGGAAAGGGGATGTCTGGATGCACCCAAGAATAATATAAACAAATATAAACAACCATACAACCCCCCACCCCTGATCGTGCCCCTGTCTAATTCCGAAACTCCGCCGCCTGTGAGCGTGTGTATCTGTGTGTAAAGGAGTAGTATCTATGTGTGAGTGTGTGGGGGGTATTTCACTTATTTACACTTCACTTCGGCTGCTGCTGCTGCTGCTCACTTGTTCGCGCCCGTTTTCAAAGTTTTCCCCTTCTCGATGGGCTGTGTTTTCCGGGTGCCACCTGCGTTTTCACCGCTGCGAGCACCAGACGCTTTCAACTTCGACGAGGAACTGAGCGCCGGACTGGTGGCTCGGAAAAGCCGAAAGCTTTCGGCCCAGAAACAAACTGGAAAATGGAACAGACACGAACAGAGAACTGGGGAACTGAGAACACGGAATTGAGAGAGAGCGGAAAAGCGTGAGCTTCTGGTGGCTGTTGCTGCTTTGTTTTCCTCATTTAAATGGGCCAGGAACGGAGGCAGAAACACTTGTGGCTCAAAGGCAGCGGCGGGCTGGCCAGGTAGCTGGCAACATGGCCAAAATGTTGCCGATGTGATTAAATGATGTTGCCATGTGCACTTTTCCAGTTCTTAGTTTTATTTCATATTTATTTTTGGTTTGTTGTTTTTGTGGGTCAATTAATATCGGCGACCGCCGCGAGTGTAAACACTTTGTTGGCCATCTGTTTTGGCCAAACTGGCGGCCGATAAGATAAACAACACCTACGGCGAATCCGCTAGCTGCCTCATGTTGCTCGTTTCGATTTCTGGGCTCCTCTCGGTTCCCGGGCCACGCGGAGCAGCCGGAGTCGTCGGATCCGGTGAGCTTTAGGAGCCAGCGGCTCCTGTTTCACTTCCAGTCCGTTTCACGGAGTAAAACCCCTATCAATACGAATCTCTTAGGCATCCGACGAGGTGACAATTCCATTTAGGAATTGCGGGCATAACTTTATACAGCACCAGGCAATTCCAAGCATTTTAGTCGACAATGAAAATTGTCATAGCTTTGTCTCAGACTTTGACGGCAGTCACTATTGCTAGAATCCTTTTAAATAGTTGGAAATTAAAGTAAAGTTTAGGTTTGTTCGAGACAGATATGAATAAATACGTTTAAGTTCAAGTCATGATTTAAGAGCTTATTTTCGGATTTTAAAATCAATTAAAAACACAGCAAAACACTTGAACATTTCTTTAAAATTTGCAAATATAGTCAGTATTTACTTTAAAAGGACACTCTTAATATGTAAGACGCCTAAAACACTCTTATGTTATGACTATATATATTTTAAAGTGTGACAGAGATACGATTAGATTAATTAAATTTAGATAAAAAGTTTAAGCTTTAATCAAACTCCGAACATTTCCTTATGAAGATGTCCGTGCAATTTAGTACTAAGATAGACTATTTTTAAATACTTGAAGGTAGTTTTTATTAACGAACGAACAGACTCACTAAGCCAAGAAACTCCGATCGAGCACTTTAAAATAAGGAAATATTATACAAGGTAATGATTCAAAAGTATGTAGATTAATATAAGAAGTTAAGAAACTGCCAAAAATAACAATAGCCTGATTATTTCTAATAGTAAAGATAAAAGCTTTACTTAGAGGATCAATTACATTCAATGTTGCAGCTACGAAGTCTGGCCCCCGTTAGGATTTATGCTCCGCCAACGGATACACTCCATTAGGCCATCCCACGCCAAACTTGAAGTGTAATTAAATAGTTAAAGTAATGAATTGCTGTTTTCGAGAGTTTACATAGACATTTACATAAAGGTCTTTATTACAGGCGGAAAGGCTGAAAAGTAGGTGTAGTTGGTAGATGCTGCCGCGGGGTTCTCGGAAATCAAGGCCAACGAACTTTTGCTTTTCGCAGGAACCGAATGGGACAGGGATGTTGGGATGTCAGGATGTGGGGATGCCTCAGGTGGCGGGACACAGTCCTGTCCGTCTGCAGTAAATTAAATACGATTAGTTAGGCAACGGGTTACCGGCGCTCCGCTGGGCATTAGCATAAGGATAGGGCCACCTTCAAGGATCTCCATCCCAAACCGTGCTCCCTAAGCTAAATCAATTTCTATAGTTAATAAGCCGCCCGCCCGCTGTGGATCATGCTGCGTGCTCTTTTCCCGCTATGCTAGTCGGAGGCTGGTAATTAAATGGATGTGCTCCGTGCTCCTGCGGCTCATTGTGTCATTGTCCTGCCTCGCGCATCGCGTATCCTTCATCACGCCTCCCTGTGGCTAATGCACTTGGTCCGGTCCGTTGATGTTGCATAAATTAATTGATTTATCAAGTGCACGGCGGGCGCCAGTCCGTCCTTGTGCTAAGTCTTAATTAGCATTTTCTGCTACTGGTGGCGCACGGTGCGTATACGCAATTAATACATATTTGCCTCGTTAATTACCGACCCATGTACACAAGCTGGTCGCCCACCCTCACACACACAGTTCCGCCGACACATTAGATAATGGGCCACACGTGGCCAGCTCCTTTCAAGGATTTATGGGCAAAGGGTCCAGCGTTGTAACCTTCATCCTAGCTGGCCGGCCACCTGGTTAACGACCCATAAATCCAAACAATCTCGCAACGGCACATAAATTGCTCCAATTCAACGCAATAAAATAAAATGTCTAGATAATGCATTTCCAAAAACCGAAGAAAAATCAATTTTCTAAAAATATATATTTAAGCTTGAATATTAAAGCTTAAACTGGTCAGTGTGGGAGGGATCTTCCTTCCCCCCAACACGGTGGATGGGGAAGTCAAAACATTTATTTTAGTTGGCCACAGAGTACATTTTGGCCAAAAGTGCAAACGGAAAAGCTGGTTAACGGACTGCCACAGCTTCTGCTGCTGTCAAACTTCCAAACGAAATTCTAATTCTGCGGTTGGCAATTGAAATGCTTTTCGCATTCGAATTGTTTCGAAAGTGCTAATGGGATTAAACAGTTCCTGATGGGGATGATGATGAGCTCTTTTAGCAGGATTGCCATTTAAACCGGTAGCGTCGTTGGGAGTCTGATTATTTTCACATATTTCCGAGATGAGTTGGGAAGCTATTAGGATATAAGGATATTAAGTGATATTTTGTGATTTTAAGCTTAAGTTACTTTAAAATGATTTGTTTTAATTGGGAAATATATAAACCATTAAAAATGCTTTATAATTCTTTACATATATATATACAAAATTGTAAATTATTTTTGATATTTTATTCATTGGCACACAGTACACTTTTTTTTAAAGCCCAAATACAAAACAGTGATACAGCATCTCCCATACACGTGCTCAGCCTGTCATTCTCATCATGATGCATTGAATGGCCAAAAAGGCTTAGGCCAGGGCCAGTGGAGAAAAAAAAGAAGCAGAGTCTGGGCAAAACCCGGGCGCTGTGGTGGAATACCACCTGTTTGGCTTACAGTGCTAATCCATCAATGGCAACAAGGCAGAAAGTGCCAACAGCAGCTCCCAGTGCTTTAGCCAAAAGCAAACACGAGCGAACGCAGAAAAAAAGCCCAATAAAATTCCCAATGCTCTTGTTTAGAAAAACAACAGGAGAAACAGCCACACAGGAGCTCCACCAGCTCCATTAAAATACATATTCGAAAAGCCCTAAGAATCCATTCATTCAGGTGGGTCGTAAAAGCGCGAATGGCCGCAAACCACCGCCCACTCGACAAGGGATGCGGAATGGCAATGGCTCTCCATCATTCATCCACTGGGGATGTAGATTTTCCGCCATACACTGTAATCGGAGTTGCTCTAATGTCTTATATACAACAGGGAGTGTTTTTGTACCGGTTTACTTACTGAGTTTAAGATCTAACATATGAACTCTTACTTTAATTTTTGTTAGCGAGCCACGAAGACCACAGTTGGTGAGGTTCAACTTAGCTTAGTACACCTTGATTTGACTCGAGGAGCATGGCTTCATTTTGTACTTTCACTAGATACAACAAAATACTTTGATAATCAGACTTTCTTCATACTGTCAAAAGTGTAATTACCTAATATAAGAGTATACACACTCCTACTTTACGATGTCAGCTTCCGCTTCCTTTTATTTTAGCATATTTCTTAGCAATATGCTCTCCATTTTATTTATGTTCGCATTTTTACAGTTCAATAAAGTTCAATAAATTGACAAAGAGCAGAGCGAGGCGACTTGCAAGTGGATTTCGCTGATAAGCGCACGATTGATCAAACAAATTAAAGTCCAATGTCCGCCTCAAAAAGAGATGCAAACAAGGAGAAAGAAAAAGACCCCGATGCTAGCTCTGGCTTAGCCAGTCCTGTGTCCTGCTCTGAAAACTGAACTGAATCTGACACTGTCAGCGGGCAGAAGGTCAAAGGCGGAGTGGTGTCGGGCTGGCATTGATGGACGAGGGGAGTTTGCCGGAGGGTGAAATCCCCGTGATGACGGCCGGTGGATTGGGAAAACGGGACTGGAAACATATGCCAAGGTCATCGAAGCTGACATGTAATCGCTGTTAAGGCAGTTTACAGTGTTAGCCATGTTGTATCAGAAGGGAAGCCACACTATAAGGTTTATTTAATTCGTGTTTTCTTTAAGAACTTTATAACTGATTTTTAGTTAGACATGTTTTTAAACTCTGCTATTTGTGGAATTTATTCCACTTGAACTCGTCACCAAATAATTGGTGTTATATCCACACTTTGTTTGTCAAGTGGATATGCCAAATTCCATTTAAATCAAAAGGAGAAATCGGAATTTCGGTTATTTCGTTGGATCAACTCAACCAAAGCGGCACTTGATTTGCCAGGACAGTTCAAGGACCCCCACTTCATCGTTTTTTTTTTTCAGGCTGCATGGAAACGATTGTCATTGTCAGTCATCGATGTCCTGTCTTGGTTTTACTTTTATTTTTATTTTTTTGGTTGCCCTTCATTTGACTTCATTCTGCTTTTCACGCTTCATATCTATATCTAAATAATGGGATGTCACTTTTAATTTGAGCCTCGATTTATATGGGCCTAGTTCCCGGACTATCCCCGTGGCCATGAAGAGCTTGGGCTTATTTCCAATAAAAAGGAAAGCGAAAATGACAAAGGGAGAGTGAGCTGCAGGACATCTTCATTGTGCTTATCAGATTCGTGGAAGTACTGGGACACTTGTCCCACGAACTCACTATGGAAACTCCCACTCAAGAGAGAGAGAGTGTGTCCTTATCTCTGTTTGTTTTAGAGGGACGCTGGCAAGCAATTAGCTCCGTGGTCCCCTCAATTTAATTGTTATAAATGCCAAGGCTGAATGCGAATTAAGTAATATTTATGGAAGGCGGCGAAAGGATATTGAGGGGGGCCATTGCGAATGCCAGGAAACTCTTTCCACGCGTCGAAGGATCATTAATAACAGTGGATTTTGCACTCAAACAGCTGACTCTGTGTGGGTGTCCGTGCTCGTGTTCTGCGGCATGTGAGAGTCCTGGCCTGGGCCATTATCCTATTACCATTAATCTCATGCACAGTTTGGCGCCTTAAGAGCGGCATCTGCTATCTAGTCCCTGGCCTCGCTATGATTTCAATTAAGCAGCCAGCAGAAGGGGAAAACAGAAAAAGAAGCCTGCCAGCCAGCCGAGTTATGAAGATAAATGTCACTCGTCAAGTGGCAATCAATTAGTTAATGCTTTCAAGGCTCTCAAAATGCCTCACGGGACATAGTAGTTGCCCCCTTGGTGCACAAATAAACTTCAGAGACTCTCTGGCTTTAGCTGGGAGACTTTGTGTTTGTCACAGAAATTATTCAATTACCAAATTAAATTTAATGCCCTGTACTTCGGGGGGAGACTGAAGGACGACGCGCTGCTTTTGATCCCACTAAAAGCTTTAATAACTGAAAATTGCTTTCACAAATTTGTCTTCGAACCGAGTTGGAAAAGTGGGTAGGAAGAGCAAGGACATTGGAGGTGGATGAGTCTGAAGGAGCTCTGCCCGCATACCTGAGCAAACATTTTTCTCATTTCGGTTTCGTCCTCGCCCGTGACCAAATATTTAAAGGCATTCGACGTGAGTCGCACTCTGAGTTCGCTGAGCAGTTCACGAGTTCGGGTTCGAAGGCGAAACGTTATCGACTTTTTGCCCCGCTGCATTTCAAATTAATGTCTCTATCTACCTGGGCTACGGCGACGAGCATCAGAAATCCAATTATATACACTTTATGTTCAGAAGAGCTTCTGCAGCGGTAAAGTGAATCCCTGAAAGGTGCGCCTCTGGCCTCTGAGCCATTAACTAATGCCGAAATCCGCTTAAAAATTTAATTTTTTTCACCTTTCGCAAACTGTGCCGCTCCGCACGCGTAACGAAATAAAAGGGCTGCCCAAGGGGACGTCGAATCCGCTTAGTCAGTCACCTGTTTGGTGTGTGAATTAAATAGGGTCGAACCGCCGAAAAAGTGAAGAAATCATTTACATTGAGATGTCAAGTCGAGCGGTGATTTTAAGGATATTTTCGGAATTATTTGGCATAAGTAAGTTTATTGATTTTTGCAGAACCCTTGAAGGACCATTATCATTATAATTTGATTTAATAGGAGACAATGAAAACATTCCCGTGAGGTTATTTATTAAAGTTTTAAGGACCATCCCTTGGCAAGTGTGACATGTACGTCATTTGAAGATGATTTCTATCGTTTTATTCGTAGTATTCTTGCCTTGATATATCTTTCGATGTGAGTAAATACATTAATTAATTGCTTTTTTTGAGGTAAAATTATTGATTCCCTTTGTTGATAATAATGATATTTACCTGACTGAGTAATTAATATTGGGCATACTTTTGGGCAGCAATCGAAAAAAATCATCATCAATGATAGGTTAATATTAATTAATACAGAGGGTTATATGGTAATATTTCATAACAAACTTTTATTTCAAGATTACAATATATTCATTTATTTAATATTAATTTAAAAATATTTTAGTTGTGATCACTTAAAGCATTTTCAGAATCGATCACCGATTTCGACACTCTCCCTGCAGAAATTAATACCAAAAGCTTTTGCAAGAGCTTCGATAACAAAAACTATCAACTTTTTTCTATATTTCTCTCAGTTTTTAGTTACGTTTCATCGTTCGCTTTAGCCGGTCGCCTTTCAGTGAGTAAAGTAAATAGCGAGAATTAATATTTGTTTTGTTTTGTTTGTCACACGAATTAGTAATTAACCCATTATATTTTGTTTCAGGTGCTTTAATAATGTCGTCCAAGCCCATTCTCTACTACGCACCCCGCAGTCCCCCCTGCCGTGCCGTTCTCCTGACCGCCGCCGCCCTGAATCTGGAGTTGGATTTACGGTGAGTTTTTTATGTTTTTCAGCTATGTTGGATTTTTTTTTTTTCTGGCAAACCGGTCTCCCTACTGATAACCACTTCTTTAACCCTCACTATAAGCTATGGGTCACTAGAGACCCACACTGTTATGCAAAGTTTTGTTGTAAAATATGTATACATATTTATACAAGTAGGAAAGCTATAGTTGAGGGTGATCGACTTGGAAATACCCTGTGCCTAAGCTTTGTGAATTTAAATAATAAAAGAAACATTGAGATGGATAATGCGCTTTGTCTTAATTATGAAATTTATGAAAACTTTAATTAAACAGATTGGAAGGCAGAAGAAATTGCTGACCAATAAACACAAGTTTTGCTAAAAATATGTTGCGCAACATTAAAACAGATAGAAATGTTGCCAGGAACATGTTGAACAACAAACGTGGACGATGCAAAAGTTCAATATATGTTCATATGTATACACTTTATTGTCTATCAACAATTATTATTATCGGATTGCTCTAAGTTATAATATTATAACTATAATTATACTACCCTTGTATGAAATGGGTATCAGGCATCATTAGGCTTCAAGATATGATAGGAGTTCAAGCAGTTTGATAACGTTTTCAATCTTGAATTTGTGAATGTCATGGAGTTTAAAATTTTCCATTCTCAAAACAAATTAATAAAATATAATATATAATTATAATCAAAAGGCTTTATTTAAATATTTCTCTCCAAGAATCTCTCTATCGTTTCATTATAATCTCCCCTCAGCACTGTCAACGTAAAAGCCGGCGAGCACAAGTCATTGGAGTTCCTAAAGCTGAACCCCCAGCACACGATCCCGGTGCTGGATGATAATGGCACTATTGTGAGCGATTCGCACATCATCTGCAGCTACCTGGCTGATAAGTACGGACCCGAGGGCAATGACTCCCTTTATCCCAAGGATCCCGTCAAACGGCGCCTGGTGGACGCCCGGTTGTACTACGATTGTGGGCACCTGTTCCCACGCATCCGATTCATTGTGGAGCCTGTGATCTACTTTGGGGCTGCAGAGGTTCCCGAAGATCGGGTTACCTACGTACAGAAGGCCTACGATGGACTGGAGAGTTGCCTGGCCAGTGGACCATATCTTACGGGTGATAAGCTGACCATTGCGGATCTCAGCTGCATTGCCTCGGTGTCCACGGCGGAGGCCTTTGCTCCCATCGAGGCGGATCAGTTCCCGAAACTGAAGGAGTGGGTGAAGCGCCTGCAGGCTCTTCCTTACTACCAGAAGACCAACCAGGAGGGCCTGGACATGCTAGTGGGTCTGGTCAAGGGATTGCTTGCTGAACGCCAGCAAAAGTAAGTCCAGACAGCATTTATTTGAAGTTTTTGATGATATTAAATAAAATCTTGTATTTTTGTAATGTTCAAATATTGAAAAACCTTGTGAAAAGTATATATATTCTTGTGAAAATGTTTATATTAATATATAATTGAGACATTTTTGGCAGCTGCTGGAATTTTTTTAGAGCAAACTTTTTGCCAGTGACTCTATTTGATGCAATCAATCAATACCGGGCGTAATAAAAACATGAGTTTCATTAGACAGCAGCCGAGGACGATGAATCAGGATCCAAACAGCAAACAATAATAGGATATCCCATCCAGGACGAGGTGGCGGAGACAGCGACAGCGACAGTTATGTGCAGCTGGTCGAAAAGTAATGGCAAAACTTTTTTTATGGCCAAAAGCCGGCTGCGGAGCAACCAGTAACCAGTAGCCAGAAGCCAGTAACCTGAACTTGGACTCGCAAACCCATGGACTCCATGGACGCCACGGACACGGACACGGACATGGACTCTCATGGACAGCGGACTGGGTTTTGTGAAATTCAAGCCAGAAAGTTTTCTTTGAGCCGCTTCTCGTAGCGCTCCCTCCCTGCTTTCACCCTGATTGTTGTTCTTGGCTGTTTGTTGTTTGGCTTGTCCGTGTTGTTATTGTTGTTTTCTGTTTGTTTTTGTTTGCTCTCCTTGTTCTTGCCGTTGTTGTAGTTGGTGTTTGGACGTTTGGCTGTTCCCGTTATTGATTACAAGCCGTAAGTGATCGCCTTTATAGTTGTTAAAGCTTCTTTGGCTTGTTGCGGCAAAACTCTTGACTCAGACTCCCACTCAGGCTCTGACTTTGGCCACTTAAACGGAAATAAGTCGAAGCCGCACAGCCCTAAAGTATGCCATGGATTTGCTCTAACTTATGGGGGTTTTAAAATTGCCCAGGTGCAACTGAGAATAGTTAATTTAACCTGTGCTCTGTGTAATGGGAAAAAGTATCTGCAGTCAGGGGAATAATAACTCATTTTTACCGGATTGGTTAGGTTGTCATAATTAAGTGGTAAAAATAAGAATTTTTATCATAATTTTTATATTTTTTCTTTTAATAAAAGCACTTCAAGAGGAAAAGTCATTAACACAACTACATTTTTTAGTTGTTTATATCTTTAAATATATTGGGGATGCTTCAGAAATTAATTTAAAAGTTTTTTAAAAGGTGTCAAATATATATACTAGCCCCTAAAGATTTCTAGAGTACCTTTTATATCTTTTTATCTGTTCACATATCAAAACAACCTATAATCATATACATTTTTTAAAAACCGTTTTGTTAAAGTGTTGCCAGGCTTAATAAAAGCGAGATTGTGTGAAAGTGTATTGCATTTTCCACAAGGGAAAATATTGTTTGTTTTCATTTTGGATTTTGCATCAAAATATTTAGCTTTTTTCCACTTGATGCATCCGGATATACTATGGCCGCGTTCAGCTTTCCGCAAACGCGTTGTGACACTTCACTCTGCACTTACGAAGGCCGGAGGCCATTGTCGATCGGGAGAGGGAACCCGAGACCGGGATCCCTCTCCACCCGGAACTCGTAACCCAAAACCGGGAGCCATCAGCCGCAGGGAGGCACTCAGTTCCGATTAAAGTGCAACACTGCGCGACAAAAGTTTCGCCGCAGTCCGTGAAACTGAATTTGGGCCACGTTTCATCGTGGTCTTTTCATTTTTTTGTAGTCAGAGTGAAATTTCCAAATGCCATTAACTGTGTGGGAAAAAGGTCGGGGCTTTTCTTTTTTCCCTTCAGCGCTCTCTGTGTGTGTGAGTGTGTCTTTGGGATTAAAATTTAATGCCGCAAAAGGAAAAAGGCAACCTAAGCGCGTGCCGGTGAGGAAAAGTAAACCGTCGGGCCAACTGTAGCTACTCATGATTAATGATGCCTTTTTCGGTGGCTCGCCGCCAGGACCGTCAGGACCTTCGCCCATTTCCGGTTCGTTTAAAGTTGAAACGCCGCTTGGCCATCTGTTTGTTGGCCGGGCTTCGCTCCATTGTTTGCTCTGTGGTTGCGGTTTGTTTAACAATGAAATTAACTTCTTCTTGCCGCCCAGTCAAGGTCCCAGGTCCACACAATTGTTCCGATAATAATATTTCCAAGGAAATCAGCCCAGTAGCCGCCATTGAACCCTGGAATCAGAATAATTAAACTAATTGGAATACACATTTATTGTGTGCAAATCTCGACTCAGTGTCCGCACTCCCCTTGGATTTTGGTTTCTTGGCTAACAAGGCCAATCAGCAGCGTTAACGATTTGGAAGTTCGATATGTAATTATGACATTTGGGGCATTGCTTTCCAATCAGAGCAATCAATCTTGGGAGTTCAGTGATGGGCATCGTACTGGTACATGTTTTGTACCTAAGAATAGTACAATATACAAGATAACTTATAATTAAATTAATGGGTATAGAATTTAGGTAATGGAAAACATTGTCTTAAATAATGACTTTGTTAATTAAATGTATGTTAAGTTCCATGTGTAGAAGTAATATTACGATTTATAAAGTAATTAAAAGTATACCACACCCAGGCAAGCTTTGTTTCCTTCGACAATCTAGGTACATATATAATATGCCTTAAAGAGAGTACCCAACCCTGTAGCTGGGTACACCTGTCCCAGTACTCATCATCTCTGGCCACAGTGGAGGAGGGCCCACTTGCCCTCGACATGATTCTGCTCTTGAGTTGAGTTGAGTTGGACAAAGGACAGGTTCTCATGGGGAATTCATGTCGCCACTCAATGGCCGGACATGAAGCGTTGATGGCCGTGCTCTGTGCTCCGTATCGATATCCTTGTACATACGTTTGTCCGGACATTCGTTGGCAATTCGATGTGAAGTCGGACACTTGCTTCCATAAAGCATAATGTGGGAAAGTTGCTCTCCGAGCTAACTAATCGCCGGGCAATAAGCACAAATCTGTTTTGAAAAACTAACCCATCTAAAGTACTCTGCCCTTGAGGGCCAGTGCACTTGTCTTTGTGTGTGTGTGTGTTTGAGACAGGACAATGAAAGGCGATTATCCTGCTCAACTGTCCGGCTGTCTTTCCACCCAAAGGCCTAACAGCCTGAAGGCCCGAAAGCCTGATGCCTGGCTGGCTCCTGATAAACGGCTGCACAAACTTCTGGCCATTGTGCCGGGGCCAGGTCACTGCGAGAGCGCATCCTGCGCCAGACTGCCAGACTGCCTGGCTGCCAGGACTCTGGGCCAGGATTCAATGCATGTTGATTAAGTGCTCGCAATTCGAATGCCGCCTGCTGACAGCAGCAACATTTGCATTTGCATAATTGGATATGTATGAACGGAGCAAACTTGATCTGTAAATGCAGATTTCCAGCAGAGCGGCGGGTCCGAGAGCCGAGTTTCTCATGGCCGTTGACATGTCACTGCACTTTCATTTAATCAATATCCTGGCAGGACCTTCGCACATCCACACTGTGACTGCAATACACCTGCAAGCAGCTTAAATGGTAAAACTAAGTAAGTTTTTGACATATTGCAGTTCTGAAATAAAGGATAAGCTTTTATTTTAATAATTAGCTCAAGTTGCATTTATTTTTAACACCATCATATATCAATATACTTTCTGCATCCTTCTTCTCGGTAAGCCAGGTTGCTGCGTTATTAACGCTGACTAATTAATTGGTAAAATGTGTTAAAAGTGTAATCTTTCTGAACCGGAGCATGTTGCAAGTGTAATTAGCTTTAAATAATGGAGTACCGACAGCCGAGGATGTGTCGGATTTCAGGGCTGTCGTTCTTTATTCATTACCCATTAGCCGGCAACTTAAAGAGCAAAAAATAAGTTATACAAAAAGAATGAACAAAGCAGGCAAACATTTCAGGCATAGAGCGCAACAGCAGCAATTATAGACAATAAATTCGTTGACACTAAGTGCTCGACAAACTTTTCCAATTAGGGGCAACAACAGGCGAATTATTGCCCCAAGGCATGGGGCGAAGTAGGGGAATGGAATTGGAAATGGAAATGGAAAGGGGGGCTGGGGTGACTTGCAAATGAATTCATTCAGCCATATGACTCCAGCCATGTCCGGGACTGATTACAGGCCGCCGGCAGCTCCAAAGCCCCCTGCTTTCACGCCGTTTTCACGCATCCGCCTCATTGCGCTTCGCCTGGCACTTTGCCTGCCCTGCCGGCTGCCACCTTCCTGCTCGCCACCACGAGGATTGCCTTCAAGGATTCCGCCCGCCGCCTGCCTTTTCGCCACCTCGATTCCTCGACGCCTCGCCAGGCAATCTCCTTAAACCAATTAACTTTCATTTGCTGCCACAGCACGACCACAAAATTTAGCCTGCCAGCTTCATTTACGGTTTGATTCGTGTGTTTACAATGTTTTGGCCAAGTGCGAGTGTGACCTGGTTTACCCGGCATAAATCAGAATGAGCCAAGCCATGCCATGCATAACGACGACTGCGTTGGGACTGCAGCACACTGAAATAAAAATGATTAGTGGATTATTGAAAGTGCCGATAATTATTTTGTAAAAGATATTTAAGGAATCCCTTTTATTAAAACATAAGAAATAATTTTTGGGAAAAAAGATAAGGGCGTCTATAGTAAAAATAATTTAGATCGATTTTAGTACGTGTAAATGGACTTTAAAGGGGAAGCTCCAAACCTCCATATTCAAGGGATTTTCTCTCTAAAGAAAAACTCTAAACAAACTCTACCTAGTATTCTTCATTTTAGGAAAATGGAATTACTGGTCATGAGGCCTCAAAGAAATCATGTTGGTCCTTTGAGGTGGATCTGCCAGCGCCAGAGAAGTAGAGGATCTTGCCCAAGAGAAGTACGATGCCAAGGACTACCACATATACTTCTACAAATAATATATATACAACATATATGATATGAAATGAATATAAATGAACCATAAAATGAATGATTTAAATAAGTTTTGTCTGTCATTTTTTTTCACTGCAACAAGAACTGCAAATCTTCGGGGCGTTCTTCATGTTTTTGTTTGTACAACACCAGGAGCCAGCTGCCAGCTGCCAGTCTCCCGTTTCCAGTTTCCAGTAGCCCG